AGGATCAAACAAGTGAAGTAAATTACCCCCTCCCCTTCCCCACACACACTCAACCTCTTCTACCTCTTCATCCGGCTTGGAGAGGTCCGGCGGGACTTCCCATGGTGTGGTATTCCAGCCAGTCAGGGGCAAGATCGCGAAGACAAGCGACAAGAACCAAATGAAGGCAGAGACCAAGGCCATAGACTTGACAGTGAACCATTCGCTGGGGAAAACAAGCAAAAAAAAAGCAACATTTCTTAATATGTTCCCCTGCGCTGATCGGAATAATTTTAATCAGAGTGTCCCAAACTCGCTGATCACCTGACTAAAAATGTGCAGCATTTTAACACTGGTGCGGCGTTCAGTTCTTACTTCTGTCGTTTTTTGAACTAGCAGAGACGAAGGGTAAAGTCTTGACTTGGACAGTGAAACCACTCGCCGGTCAAAACAAGAAGAAAAAACACCTGAACACTGTAATGAGTTGTTCAGGCTAATTAGATGTATCACGATGTGGTGGAATCAGGCGCTCGTCAATTTTTGGACTTACTGAGTTATTGATATCTTCTTAAAGCTTGTTCGTTTGTCTCGTTTTTAATGAAAAAACTACCCATCTATCTTCAATAGAAGTGGAGATATTTTGGGATTGAAGGGGGTGGGTATGACCTGGTTTTAGAGGCAATATTAGCGAGAAAAAGACCCGCCAAAGCTTTATAACTTTCAAAGCTGGAGAGTCCATGGAAACTGTAAATTTACATTTTTTGGTGGCTTTAATCAACGTTTTTCGGTAAAATTCCTCACAAGTATTTTTCTAAATTGACGAAAAAAGTGTTAAGCAAAAAACCCCCCAAAACCAAACAAAGAATTGATAAAAATTGTCAAACCGGGAGAAAAATGCAATTTTCTTCGATTTCATTATTTTGACGAGCGCCTGATTTCACCACAATGTCTCACAAATCATTGAGGGTATGCGTTTTGCCAGCTTGAGAACACATTATTTTGAGGTACTTAAATAAACAAGCATAACTTCATTAATCATACAGCTTTTTTAGTTGTCTTATCTTTACCTGAAAGCTACACACGGCAGGCAGCAACATGCATACCAATAAACATTCAAATTTGTGCTTCTAAGTTGTGAATGTCGGTTGGAAATGTGCTGCAACATTGCTTATGTTCCCCTCGCAGATCGGAATACTATAATCAGGTTGTCCCAAACTCGATGATCACCAAAACATGGCCCTCATCACGCGCAATTCATTTCCAGGTTCTGACTAAAAATGTTATCTTGGTAGCATCTTTTCGGAAGACCGACGTCTCAACAGAGAAATTGAGACGAGAGTACAAAAGGCTAACAGCGTCAGCTAGCAGTTTTCCCCACTCCTCAAACATCCTAACATCTCCATTGAGAACAAAGCCCCACCTTGACCTACCAGTGCCAGACATGGGCCCTGACCAAAGCCAAAAGTCTGTAACGTAAGATAACCATCTGCAAGATGAGATGTCTAAGGAGAGCCGTCCACAAAACCAGACGGGACATGGTCAGAAATAACAAGATCAGAGAAATGGTGGGAACAACGCCTGTCCCCCACTACATTCGAAGGCAAACAATCGGGTTGTTGTTGTTATCGATCCAGAAACAATCAGGTGGTTTGGACATCTCACACGTATGGCACCTAACCAGCTTGCCATTAAAGCCTACTACAGGAAAATATCAGGGTACAAGTACAAGGCAAGAGGAAGACCAAGAAAGACCTGGATCCAGGGTGTGAAGGATACCCTGGGAACATACAATATCCCACCCAGCCAGGCCATCAAACTTGCTAGAGACAGGGAGCTCTTTCTCCCCTCGATGCCCTAGAGGTACAAGAGGACGGAGAAAGTAAAGTAAGTAAGACTAACAATGTGCAGCGTTCTGACACTGTTGCGGCACCCTAGGTCTTACTTGTCTCGTATTTTGAACCCCCTCATCCACATCATCTGGTCGTTCTATTTCCCAGCGCACACAATCAAAAAATTAACGTTCCTTCTCTGTCCCATAGAAATTAGCCTTGTTACTAAAGCGAAAAGCGTTCAAAATTCTCTCTGTGTCTCACTTGACTTCAAAACCCACCCATGCATTGTTTTTCTCTCCTAAACATTTGTGAGGCAGCGTGGTGGAATCAGGCTCTCGTCAACTTTTGGGCATATTGGGTTATTGGCATCATCTTAAAGCTTGTTCATTTGTCTTGCTTTCAATGCAAAAATTACCCATCCATCTTCAATAGAAGTGGAGATATTTTGGATTGAAGGAGTTGTGGGTCACCTGGTTTAAGAAGTAAAAATTAGCGAGAAGATGGCCGCCAAAGCTTGGTAAATTCCAAAGCTGGAGAGTCCATGGAAAATGTAAATTTATATTTTTGTGTCTTTAATCAACGTTTTCGGTGAAATCCTCAAAGGAATGTGTTTGTAAATGGACATAAAAGGTGTTGAGCAAAAAAATAAAAATCTGATAAAAATTGCAAAGCAGGGAGAAAACTGCGGTTTTCTTCGATTTCATTATTTTGACGAGAGCCTGATTCCACCACGCTGCATCACATTTTCTGAGGTTATTCCTTGGCGGATAAAATGTGAGTGGGCTTTATTTCTAAATCATGTTTTAAGATTCCGTAGATTTAAGTTGGGGAATTTGACATGGCAAGTTCACTGCTACGTCCTCGAACAGATTAATTTCTTTGGTGTTGTTGCGGCTGTCTCGTGATCTGATTCTACATTTTTCAGGGTTTCGTAAATACTTACTCCCTTCTTAAATGGTCTTCTGACAGACATGCTATCACATTGAATTGTTCGTACCACTCTCAAATTACTATTTCACAAGGTGCACTAAGTCTAGGTCTGGAATATACTCCCGCTCTCTGCAAAAGTTTCCTTTCGGACTTGAATTCAGTGTGTTTTCTGACGCAAAAGCCCTTTTGTGGGTTCCTACAAGGCATGGCTGATGCTGGGGTACTCATCTGACCAGCTCAAATTTGAGTGTAGCTTGTGGCGCCCAAACATGATTTCTCTCAAATTTAGTAAAGATTCGCGCAACAACAACAACAACAACAACAACAACAACAACAACAACAACAACAACAACAACAATAACAACATCATCACCACCACCACCACCACCACCACCACCACCAACAACAACAACGGTATTCTCTACCCGTATCGGTATGGCAACACGATCTTGAAGTATCTGTCTAGAGAGAGAAAGACCAGGTGGAGCACCGAGCTCACGATGAGGAACACCAGGAGACCGTAGCGAGCCAGACACTCCTTGTAGATCTGGAAGTTGGACATGTTGTACGTGGTGTTGTAGAACAGGAAGATCCCCGTCATCAGGTCAGCGAACGCGAGGCTGAGAGGGGGAAAAAGAAAGAGAGGATGGTGAAAAAATGGGAGGTATCGTGTTGAAATCAGGCGCTTGTCAAAATAACGAAATCGGCGAAACAGGCATTTTTCCGCTAAGAAGACAATTTCTACCGAATTTTGGTTTTGTGGCTCAAATTCTTTTATGTCCATTTAAAAAATAGTTCACTGAGAATTTTACTGAAAGGCACAAAAACAAATGTAAATTTTTTTCAGTTGCCGAGGACTCCCAGGCTATGGAAGTTACCGAACTTTGTCGACCATTTTCTCGATAGTTTGACCTCTGAAACCAGGCGACCTCCTTCAATCACAAATACTTCGACTTCTATTCAACTTAGATGGATATTTTTTTCACCCAAAGTAAAGCAAATAAACAGGCATTACGATGATACTGATAACCCCATATGCCTACAAATTGACGAGCGTCTGATTCCACCACGTCGTGACGCAAATGGTGAAATGGTGAAGGTTTAACGACCCTATCAATACTACTAGGTTGTTTACGAGGCAAGACCTCCGAGTTTAACGTCCGTCTACCACAGGGCCGAGACAAATGAAACATTCGTATAAAGTGCCATTTCCAAGGACACAACATCGGACTGAGCTCACGCTCGAACCCCCGAACCCTCAATTTCACGATTGCCGTTCCGTAAGCCTAACCACTAGGCCACTGAAACCACAGAAAGAGAGGATTTAGTTTAGTTTTAGTAGAGGTTTTACCGCGCTCGCAACTGCATATGAGCGCCAGAAGATTAGAGGTGTTACAAAAGAGTAACAAACATTAAAAAGAAGAAGGGGAGAAAAGGACGATAGATGTTTGATAGGAAAGAAGAAGCAAGCCACACCAGAGCACCCACCAACCACCCAAAAGAGAGGATGAAGAAATGGCGTTAGGGAAAAGATGTATAACACCCCTCCCCCCCTCACACACAATTTTTTAATTGTTTTTTTTTGGGGGGGGGAGGGGTAAAATGGGAACAGGTGTGTTGCTTGTGCGCGCGCGCGCGCGCGCGCGTGTGTGTGTGTGTGTGTGTGTGTGTGTGTGTGTGTGTGTGTGTGTGTGTGTGTGTGTGTGTGTGTGTGTGTGTGTGTATGTGGGTGTGTTGGGGGGAGGGGGGATATTGACAAGATATCAAGGGTCAGTATTGTTTTCATCATTTATTTCATCATGAATGTGACAATGTACTGGCCGATTTTAACTCTCCGTCTTTCGGTCAGTACCTCCTCTCCCTCCTCTCTCCCTCCCCTCCCACTCTTTCCCTCCCTCTTTCCCTCCCCCTCTCGCTCTCTCTCTCCCTCCCTCTCTCCCTCCCACCCTCTCTCTACCTCACCCCCTCTCTCTCTCGCTCTCTCACCCCCTCCCCTCTCCCTCTCCCTCTCTCTCAATTTCTTCCTATCTCATTTCTCGGTTCTTGTATGTCCCTGTCACACTTTCCAACCGTAAAATACTGTAGATAGATAGATAAATAGATAGATAGATAGACAGACAGACAGACAGACACATACACACATGCAAACACACATGCACGCTCATACAGACACATACGTGCGCACGCCCACAGACGAAGAGAGAGACAAAAGAGGAGAGTACGAACAGAAAGAAAGACAAACAAAAAGGGTGAATGACAGAATTCGAAGCCACGGTCTACGCACCAAACCACCAAAATCAACAAAACCTGAGATCTTACATACAAAATGGTTCACTCCTCTCTTTGAACCAATTAAAAAAGTGTCCTCAAAATTTGGTGGCGCCCTCTTCGAAAAAGTGCGGACTGTGCCAACAGAGTTATCCTACTTATGTGGAAAAAAGTGAAAATAACAAGCTGTGCTATTCTTATTCTTCTTAAACAAATAAAATAAATATTAAATAAATAGATTAAAAAAAAAAATAAAAATAAAAATAATAAAATAAAAAAATAAAAAAATTCTTTTGGAGAAACGAAAGAGGGCTTTAAAACAAAGACTGCAGCGCCATTTGAAGGAATGCACGGACTTTCGCGGACACTTTTTTGGCTGAGGGAACAATCTTGTTGTGAACGATCTTTGACTGACCTTGAGACCATGACGTCAGCGGGCTCCTTGTGCGGCTTGAGACGAACCATCGTGTCCAACACAAGGCCGTTCAACAGAAGGATGGTCACGCCCACCAAGACAATCACAGAGTTCATGACAAGGTCAAGGACGGTGACCCCGTAGCCGTTGAGGGCCCAGTACACGGGCTCACTGCTCTCCCCTGTGTCGTCTGTCGCGTTGGATGTCGTCATTGTTGTTTGGACGGTGTTGTCATGTAGTCTTCACTTGGGACTAGTGGAGGATGTCACGTAAATAAAGGGTCTTAGTTTTGTTTTAGTAGAGGTTTTACGGCCCTCGCAACTGTATACGGTCATATGAGCGATAAGGGGGGATGTCACATACATAAAGTTCTTGTTTTGTTTTGTTTTAGTAGAGCTTTTACTACGCTCGCAACTGCATAAGGTCATATGACCGCCAAGGGGTGGATGTTAACAGAGAAGTCCTTACAGGGAATCGGGCTTACTCTGCTCAATTCTCTGGCTTCAACAGCACAAAGTCTGCTTAGACTATCAAGGCACCCCGGAAATACCAGGTCTCAAGAGTCTGACAAACATACAAAAGAAGTAGAGGAAAACGACGATAATAAGGATTAGGAAAGAAAAAGCAGCAGTTCCCTGTTGTAGTTCAGGCACAGTTAATAGCATGGCATAGTTGGAATAAAGGGTCTAACTCGCATTTTGCTAAAAAAATGAATTCTTAGTAGGGTGACAAACGTTAGGAAAGATTACACAACATAGGCATTAGAACAAAGAGGTTATATTAAAGTACTAGAGTTCGTGGCAGTGATGTCCCCAACGTAAACGAATGGGGGGCTACGTGTGCCCACTCTGGGACACTGAACCTCAAGGGTAAGACATGCGCAGGTCAACAGACGGGTGAGTACTTTTCGAGACTCACATGGAAGCGTCTCAGCGGTCTTAAGAGGAAATCTTACAAACTTGCACTAAAATATGGGGGCAGGGTGGAGAGAGGGTTGTGGTCTCAGATTGCTCATGTAAATTGGTCAAGCCGGCCATTCTGATGAGGGTAAGAAGACCCCCTTGTCTGACACGTGTGATGTCACTGCCGCAAGCTCTATTATTATAATATACTACCTGGGCCCCTTTTCGATAAAAGGAATGATCGGTGCATTAACATCAACTGAAAATTATTTGCCAACTATATTTACAATCTACTGGAATGGGGCAACAAATCTCGAGAGAAAAGTGTTTCCAAGTTGCAAAAGAATATAAAATAGAGGTATAGATGGAGTCTCTCTCTATTCTGCTTCCGTGGTTGTACATTCCATAATTTCAAAGGAGTGGAAACAGTGCGCACAGCTAGTGAACGGAAACCTCTCTTTTTTTACAATGGGATCTTAGAAGACGGACTTTCCCAAGATTAGATCTAAATGAAACTAATGAAAAGCTGAAAATTAAACAACAGTGACTTCAGGGTCCTCAATGAAACTGGGCGCCCTTTAAATGATTCTGAACCACCATTAATTTGTTCAAATTCGAAAGTTAGTGGTTCGGAAGTTTTAAGCGGCCAAAGTGACGAACTTGCACCAATACATTATGTAGAGATAGAGATAACCTATTTGCATTAGAACGAAATAACCGGATGATTTTAAAAACAGAGTCCATAACCTTTACAGATTACCCAAACTCAGTAGTTTATGATGTTGTGTTTTTCTATTCTCTCTCATTTTTCTTGTAACGACGCGGAGTAATTTACATTCTTTATTTCTTCCGACCTCTACAGCTAATCCCCAGCCTGTACCAAATTGTGTTATTTGTGCTGTTTCACAAATATTATGCTAACTCTCTATTTCCCTATACCGTGCGTTTGAGTTCCTATAATTTCGAATTGCACCACGGCGTGGTGGAATCAGGCGCTCGTCAATTTTTGGCATATATAAATATGGACTATCAGTATCATCTTAATGCCTGTTCATTTGCCTTGCTTTAGGTGAAAAAAATATCCTTTTATCTTTAAGAGAAGTCGAAATATTTGTAATTGAAGGAGGTCAGAGTCGCCTGGTTTCAGAGGTCAAACAACGGAGAAAATGGCTGC